TTAACACTCTGACATCGGCAAAGCTGTGATGCTTTCACAGGGCGTGGGTTTCAAAGTGTCCAGCAGGTGGCACTGTAGTATTGGTGTGCCCCTTTGTAACTATTACAGGATGGGGGGAATTGGTCTTGGCGGAGGTTTGCACTCTCCGAGTGCTTCTAGTTAAATTTGTGATTGACAAGATATTGACCAATCAGATGTGTGTGTGTGGGGGGGGGGGGGGGGGCAGGGTCAAAATTCTTACAAGTTTAAACTNTCAGATGTGTGTGTGTGTGTGTGGGGGGGGGGGGGCAGGGTCAAAATTCTTACAAGTTTAAACTCATGCGCAAGTTAGAAACATGAATATAGTCTCTCTCACACACACCTGCAGTGGCGCCCATAGCTCCAGCCCCTTTCTGAAGCATTAACCCTTTAGAGCCCAGATAAGAAAAGGCAATAAAACAATGGAAATAGAGTTAGAGTTTTTCTGAAGTGTTACAAAGGCAATGATACAGTATGTACAAAGTGACCAGGATTTATAGATTTACTGTTAAGAGTTTCTTTTGAAAAATGATACTGTAAGCCTATTTAATTAAAAAAAACATTATTTCGAGTTCTAATCACTTATTAATAATGATTTCAGCCATAGTAATTTATTATTTGTGTGCAAATTTATGTTTGTATCAAACAAGTAGCCCTTGGTAATATCCCGTCCCCCTGAAGTAGCTCTCAGTCTCAAAAAGTTTGGTGACCCTTATTCTACAGCAGGGGTATTCAATTAAAAGTCACTGAGGTCCAGTTGCTAAACTTTCCACCTACTAAAAGATCCGAACAAAAGTCCGACTTTTGTCTTTTATGGTCTTGATCTGATATGTTCATATTTTCACTATTAACAAACGGCACTTTATAGTAAACAACTTTTTATTTTACCATATTTAAAAGTAGTCCCAGGCAAATAATTTTAAAACCTTTATTTCAGAAAACAGAAACGTCAGAACAAAGTACATTTTAGAAGTGCAAACAGAGCCTAATAACCTTTTTTTTGCTTTTATATCGAAGCCTAGACAAACCTAGAGAGATGGAGGCTTTCAGATGAAGTGCAAGTTGCTCGGACTTCAGCGGATAACTTTGCTCAAAAGAGCCGTGCTTCGTTTCAAAGTGGCGCTTCACATTGGCACTTTTAATTAATGCGACCGTTTCAGAGCATATGAGACAAACTGGTTTTGAACCACCTGCTGGAAGAATGAACGTAAATTTCTCTGTCCGTTCATCTTTAAAACAGCGGTTTTCTGCATGAACTTTTCTTATCTTGGAGCAAGCCATGTTGTCACCGCTTCTCTTCTCTGGTTAGCTCACTGCATTGGTCGCRCAGGGTAAACAAACGATTTGATTGGCTCAACGCTGTTACCATAATAACTGTAGTAGACGTAAACTCTAAAGCTCCTAACTGCGTCTCTGCTTGGCTTTCGCTGGGAAAAAATGCTCCATGAATATTATATAATTTTGTCAGTTTATCAGATAGGGCAGTGTTTCCCAAACTTTTTATCTTCTGACTCACAAAATATTCATTGCAAAAACTTGTGACCCCAAATATTACTAGTCTGAGTACACAAACGTTGTTAATAACCCTAAAAACAAAGGCTACACAAATACTTATTTATACTTATTTTGTGGTTTGGTAATAATTTTAGGGAAAATATTAATTCAACAATTATTTTATTACCCTTTCAATTGATTTCTGAAGTGCAGTGGTTCCCAAACTTTTCAGCGTTTGACCCACAAAATAACAGTAGCAAAGACCTGTGCCCACAACTATTTTTGGATGATAAACATTTGTATCAGGTCAAC